ATTCTTTGCTCCTGGAATGTGGCATGCTCTTATGTGGATGTTCAGGTTGTCTGTTATGCTGAACAGTTGAAAGCAGAGGTCCAGGAGGTTCGCCGACCTTGTTGATCCTTGCCTGTTTATGTAGAACGCCACTGTGGAGTTGTCCGTATGCACCATCAGATGAGCATTCTCCAGAATGTTTGTCCAGTGGAGTATGGCGTTTAGTACTGCTTTCATTTCCAGCATGTTGATGTGCAGATCTTTCTCCTCTTTGGTCCATGTCCCAGCTGACACTTCGTCGTCGAGATGTGCTCCCCAACCTTGGAGCGATGCATCCACGTAGAGATGCATCTTGCACTCGGCTCTGCTAAATAGGTGCCTCCATAAACATTCGATCTCTGGGTCCACCATAGTAGATATGGGTGTGTAGTGCGTCCGGGGAGTCCGAAGGGTTCGAATTCGTCCAGATGAGCATTGGCGAAGACCTATAGTGTGGCGTGAAGTTGTAGTCTCCCTCTGGCTGTCATGTCTTGCGCTGGCGTGAGGAGACCCAACAGACTCTGCCATTGTCGTAGTGGCCACGGAGAGAGTAGACCTTGCGAGATTGTCTGTTGTATCTTGAGCCATCGGTCCTCTGGTACCACTATGCGGTTCTGTGTTGTGATGAACCGGATTCCTAGGAACTGCAGGTCCTGTGTGATTCTAGGTCCGACTTGAGGAGATTCATTAGCCACCCCAGTTGTGTAAGCAGTCTGATGGTGAAGTCCAGTTGTAGTCTGAGATGCTTGGGATCTTGATGTACTTGAATCCCGTCGTCTAGGTAGAATGCACTGCGTAGACCTCGATGATGTAGGTATGTGACTATGGGCTTCGTCACCCTTGTAAACAACCAGGGGGCCGATGATATTCCAAATGGCAGGACCTTCCATTGGTAGTGTCGTCCGTCCAGTATAAACCTCAGGTACTTCCTTGAGTCCGGATGTACAGGAATATGCAGATAGGCGTCCTGTAGATCTATGCTGGCCATGTAGTCCATCGGACGGACGAGGTGTAGGAGTTGTGGTAGATGTATCACGCTGAACTTTGGTGGTCTGCGTAGATAATCTCTGTTGAAGGCCCTCATGTTGTAGATGAGTCGGAACTTTACTTTGGAGTTTTTCTTTGGCACTAGGAAAACTGGGGAGTAGAATCCTGGTGAGAGCTGGTCCTGGTCCACCACTTCTATGCCTTCCTTCTCTAGTAGAGATGTGACCGCTTCTCGTAGCCTCTCTGTCCGATGGGTCGCGTGAAGTTGAACTTCTGAGGTTAGCCTGTCAACGGCGGAGTTGCTTGTAGTTGTATCACGATATCCGTCTCTTAGGATGCTGGATACAAATGGATCTTGAAGAATTCCCCAGTTCTCCCAGTAGTTTTGTAGACGTCCACCCACTTGTGAAGGTTGTACAGGAACGGCTGGGGGTGGAAGACTCCAGTCCTTCCGAACCCCTCCTTCATCGTCTCTGATCCTTGCCGCCTCTGGGTGCCCTGCCTCGTCCGGTCGCCCTCTCTATAGTTGCCGGCTGGGCGTACCTAAAAGAGTCCTTCCCTCCTCTGAAGGTGCTCATTTTCTTGTCTCTTGCCTTCTGGATGCCTGCGAACTTCGACTTGCCCGAGTAGCGCTGGGACGTCTGCCTGATGACACTGGCTAGTGTATCGATGGACTTTATCATGAGGACTTCTCTGGAGTCTTTGGTAACTTCTTTGGCGACGTCGTCAATCTCCCCTGCGAAGATGGATGATGTCGACCATGGGGCTCTGTACAGCGACTTCGTGAAGCGTTCGCTCCAGTTGCAGGATGCCAGTAGTCCTTGTCATCTCACCAACGTCAACGCTGCTGAGATGGATGATAGATGGTCCGTCATAAACTGCTGGTCCTTCTTCTGCATGAGTAGAGCAGAGTAGATCATCCGGTCCTCCTCTGCGGTAGAGTCCCTGAACTTGACGATGAGCGTCTCAATCACTGCCCTGGATCTGTTCAGGCCGAAGAACATCCTTCTGCACATCGTCTCTATCTGCGCCAGCTTTTTGTCGTCAATCTTATAAGACTTGGTCCGGGCGTCGTTGATGACCTTGTAGTTATCGATCTCTTGTGCCTTCATGAAGGGGTCCATATTGTGTAGAGAGAACTTCTTGGCGTTGAACTGTGGAATATTCGGCGCCTGGGATTTCGTTGCCTTCCTGAAGGCGGCGTCCAAGTTCTCTGGAACTTCCGAGATGGGATCAATTGGCGGTAGAGTGATCGTGTCGACATCATTGTCCTTCATCAGGTACGTGAGTGCTGCATTCTCTTCCTTAGAGGGTGACGCTAACTCCAGTCCGTTGGCCATCCAATATCTTATCTCTGCATCCGAGAAGACAATACCGCCATCGTCCTGTTTCAGGGGCGTTGATCATCCTCCGCCCGGGATCTGTGTAGAGACCTGCGCGGAGACCTGCATGACGATCTGCGTGGAGATGAGCCTGTAGAGCTGCGTTTGTAGGGCGATCTGCGTGGAGGCGAGCGTCTCTTGGTTCGTGAATGCCTCGGCGAATCCCTTGACGATCTGTGAGATGTTGATGACGTCCTTGAGGCTGTCTCCGCAGACCTTCGCGAAGGCTGTTCATCTAAGTAGTCAATGGAAGGCCTCTCCGATGTGTCGTCGGCGGTGGGTCCTTTGTGCAGGTCCGGGTCCTCTCTGTGGGTGGTGTCCAGGGCTGGTTGTCGATCTCTTTCCTGCGCGAAGCGCCTCTCCATCATCTCCATTATCTGCTGCGAGAACTGCTGCATGAAGGCCCCGGGGTTGAATGTCTCGCTGATAGATGAGCTGCCCTCTCTGCGTTGGTAGCGATATGGTCCAGGGATCGCTCATCTGCCGTCAGTGTAGATACCTCGGACTGCGTAGATAACTGCGCTGAAGTTACCGTTGCTGAGGCCTGCTTCTTCTTGGGGCGATGTATCTCCCGGGATGATGTGCGGCGGCTCATCATAGAGTCCTCTTTCCTCCATCGGGACAATCTCGGCCGAGAAAGTCCTAGTCGTCTGCGCAGACGTCCCCGTAGAGCTGCTCGCCGTCTTAGGGGTGTGTGGCCGTCTCTGCGTAGAGGATGGCTTCTTCTTCTTCGTCTGCGATGAAGGGATGTCCGAAGTGGCAGCCCTTTTCTTCGAAGTGGCGGACAACATCCCCACGCCCATCCTCCGAGGACATCTCCGGCGGATCACTGGAAGGAAGAGGGTCGTCTGACAGCAGTTGACACGTGAGGGACTCAGCCGGCTTATCAATGACTTGAAAAAGCCTGGATTTGTCTTTAGCACGCCTAAGTACACAGAAAATAAATTTATTAAATTCAATATTGGTTAAATGCTGACAAAGGTTGCAGCGAGAGCTGGAAGTACATGGTGTTGTGCAGCTAGGGCACAATAAATGCGGGTCTGCAGCAGAGAACCTAAACCTACAACGAAAACAGGTTTTCATGAAATGTAAACAACTGAACAAACACGGACAAAACCGTGAATAAACAGTGAAAAATACGAATAAATTTCAAACCATATTGTTGAAGGATACTCCCTAAACCCCTATAAAGGTAATGTATAGGGTAATAACTAATAAATAAAAGGATATAGTGCCGTATAGAAGACACAGGCGCTCTCCCAACCGTCCACTAGGGCGAGGAAGGAGAGAGTGAAGCATGTGGGAGCGGTGGCGCCACTTTTCCCGCCAAAACGGCCAGACAGATAACTCATGGTGAGTAGTGATTTTACGTCTGTTTTTATTGAAGGGAGCTTCAATAGAAGATACAAGTGTTCCACTAACGTTCGCAAGAGGAAGGAGACAAGCAATAAGCATGAGTCAGGATAAGGAAAAATATGCATGTTTTGGTTACTGCTGAAAACAGGATAATTGATTGGTAAACTTGTCAACACACACTCCCCACCCCAACCTCCTAAAAAACACCAAACAAAAACCACCACCTCCCCACACCATTTTTCCAAAAGCCATTGCCTGAGAACCAATTCTTTTTATTTTATTTAGGTCAAACTGATTTTCTAATATGATGTCCTCATAAGGATATTCATACATGCTGAAGTTCAGCTTCCCAAGGCTGGCTGTTTCAAGAGATCTACACAGAATAAACCTGCATTTTGGGAGAATTACAAGAGTATTATAGGAAATTGCATTATAGTAAATTGTGAGCTGTAACCATTCATATAGATTCAGGTGTTTCTGAGGATATCATGTCTCCAATGAGAGAAAACGCTATACAACTACCAAATTTCATTCATTTTGAACACACACTGCAGTGTGATAGATATACCTAGACATTTCATGATCTCTTCATACCGCAAGGGTCTACTCAAACCTCTGGAACAAAGGGAGGAACAAGTTTGCAAGGTTTCAACTCATTGGTCCTGGAGGAGAAATGTGTACAATGGATGAGTGATAAAAGAACACTTTCAGTCATGGGAGCTAAGTCTGAACATTAAACGTCACATGCAACCAAAAAAGACAAACATAATTCAAACACAATTATCACTTATTCATGACATATAATATACATTGCAGATTATGAAAAAAACAAATAAACAAAATGTGCAATAAGTGCAATATTTTATAGATTATTTACTATTTGCTGTTTGTGTACACTACTCCTGCTACTGACCTCATAATCCGGACATCCCGCTTCCAACCTGCGCGAACCTATTCACTGCGCATGCGCCATGAGCGCAGTGCAGTGCACAGCGCACGATTTAGTGCATCTCTTGAACTTCGATTTCACGGTTGGGTTTTTTTTTGTTTTGTTTTTTTGGTTTCATCACGTTATTTTTCAACTTTATAAGTTGTGCAGTTTTGACCATTTGTTACTGTAAGTCCATACTGAAAGGTATCAGAATCTGCAAAGTTGTATTTTACGTTGCATGTGACCTTTAACTTATTTTTTATCATTCAAAATATAGGCCCCTGTGTAAGCTGAGTAATAATGTCATTACTGGCTAGTATACATACCTTAGCAAAGCACCTCTCCATGTGTTTGAGTGCACCCCTCTGGTTGATCTCCCCACCACAAGTAACACAGTATATGGTGAACTCTGTGTCATCCTCAGCTTCTGTACCCTGCACACACAGACAGACTGATATCATCATCAGCGTGCCAAGACTTAATCAGCATACCTATTCCATAAAATCACTAAATGTCTATCAATGACTGAAATAAATCTGAGAAAAGGATACCTGTGGCAACATTGGAGAGGTCATCTTCCTTTTTACTAACTCCAAAATCTAATCTCAAAAGCAAACAGTTTTTTACATCAACACAAGAAAAAACATGGATAATATAGCACTTGTAAATCATTTGTGAGTAGAAAATGGCAAAGCAACAGTCAATGCAATTGACTACATGTAGTACATCATGTGTAAATTAACAAAAGATTCAAGAGAGACTGAAAAGCATGGTGATGGACAACCACAGTACCCCAACTTAACTCACTCATATATAACACGTATGGGGATAAAATGCTTTCACAAGTCTCTCAACATTTTGTGATGCCTCTTTTGAGTGACATAATAATTGTTGAACATGCTGCCAATAATAAAGACTATTAAAGGGCAAGTTTACATGAAAAATAACCTTTTTGTCTTGCACTATTTCATCATTAAAGGTGTGTGTCAAGTAGTTTTATAGCCAAAACAGTACAGCTATCAGATGTAACTAACGTATTTTTTGTGCGTTACATAGATTCAAAGTTTCTTCTTTAACTGAGAGTTCTTTGTTTCAATAAACAACCATGGCTTATGTGACTGTCCCTTGGAAATGACGTCACTGGTGCCCGACTGATAAACGAATGACGTCGTCAGACCTTATTAGACCAATTTCACGTGGTGCAGTTATAGGTGTGGTTCTTGTGTCTCAATGTGCAGGCTAACTGTTTTATCCAGCTGTTGCCTGGCCGTCAGTTGGGGGTATGTGGTCAGTTCCACATTGTGATGATGTTGCAGTTTGACAAAAACGTATATATTGTACAAAATGTGTTACCACGTAACCAAATTGTATAACATTCAACCTTTCCAACATATCTCCTTTCACCAAAACTAAAACACATATGCACTACATCCATCGGTGAATGTGACGGCATTTTACGTTTGGTATTTCATTCCTACATAAGCTCACAGAGATAAATGCACTTCGCAGTTTTGAATTCTGTTTGAATCGTTTTTTCTATGATATCATCTGCTCATTGTTGGACAAATTTAACCTAACCCTAACAACAATATATTCCCAGTTTTCGTGAGCGTGACAACATGATTGAGGCTAGCTAACTCATGCACAACGATGATGGTACTTCTCCTCATTGATAACTTTTTCTCTTGATCAAAATGAAAACAAAAAGAAAATAACAACCAGCAGATTGCCAGAATATTTCGGACAACTAACATGGCACATTTATGCATATACGTTGCATGAAACAACAGAAGTTTCCTTAAAAAAATCCCGCATACTCGTGTAGGTGAACCCGCCATTTTGAGAAAGTTGCTTCCCGAAAGGTGATGTCATTACGTATGCCAACATTTTTATACATATTTGGTATTTTCATTGAGGTGAGGTTATGAATGAAAATACACGATCATTTCTATCTCACTGCTTACATTTTCAGTTCTAATGCTTCTTTCCTATTTTTACATAATTTCAGGTGATTAATGTCAGTATTTATATCTTTTACTTAGGGACTAGACCGGAGACCAGTCTAAATCAACTGGCACCAATTACATCATAATCAAAGGGCAGTAACTCTGGCCTGTTTAGCTCAGCAAACAAAGGCCTCATAATGGTATAACATTTCAGCATTTATATTCAGGGTTATACTTTCATTGTAATAAAAATGAGTGTATATTTTCAAACACTGTTACTAACTAATTAAAAAATTCCATTTTGTTTCATATAAGAATAAATGTGTTTTTTTTTCGTGTACACATCCCCTTTAAGTCAAAGTGCACAGTCCTATTGTTGATTATTTGATTGGCATTCTAGAAATTGATGAGTAAATAAACCAAGCATATGACTTAATTGAAAACAACTGTTTGTTTATTGCATAGAGCAATGTCGATGCTTATATCATATCAGTATCAAATGGTAGTGTGCACTTCGTGTGCTGGTGATTATGTGCCAAACAGTGGGTTTGAACGTGTTCTGGAATCTATACTTTACTGAGAAAAGACTGGCAGGTAATCATGAACGACATCAGAAGCAGCAGTTCTGTTAGGAGCAGCCACAACCCCTCCATCAGGATAGACCAAAACTGCAACAATCTGCTGACAACAGGTTTTGTATGAGGGAGGTCCTGTCACACAGGACCATGCATATGCTGGTGCAACTGTCCTCCACGACATTCCTGGATGTGGAGTGACTTGCTCAGAATGGTGAGGGACAGTGTGATGTGTTTACATGGTTTATATTGTGGGATGACCTACTGTTTGTTCCGGGTCTAACGTTGAATGTTTGGCTCGTTCAATGATGACATCCAACTCTTGATGCTTCATGTCAAGATCACCCAATTTCTGCCTGGCATCTAGCTGTTGTCTTCGGATTTCTTCCAGAGCTTTTTTGTTGTTTTCTTCTGCCACACATGGACTGCTCTGCCATTGCTGGATGCGACTTGGCAAAATTTCATAGATTCGACTGAAAACACAAAATCAAAACATTTTTCTTATGTCGGTTGATATCAGTTCATTTCTACAAGTGATGGTCCCTAACGAGAGTATATAATATAAATATCTCCTGGTCTGTGTGAAATGTATTTAAAGTTTAAAAGATATGTTAAAATATCTACCATCCAAAAGTATGTAACTGTTGAGTATTGAAACTGGGATACTGCTAAATCCAGTGAAAATAACATAAAAAGACATTTTTTCAGAATGACTCAAACTATGTATATATTTTACCAGAGTTTTTAAACTAACCCTCACATCTGAACACCCACTTTACAAAGGTCATAATGGTTAAAAAACCTTGTAAGAAACATCTAATATCTGAGAAGAAATTCTACAAGCTAGAAATCTAATGAATTCAGTGCTGAAATGTGTTGCTGACCTCTTGGCAAGCTTCAGGCCACAATCATCAGAGCAGTATTTGGAGTTGGATCTGGCTGCCTCTGTACATCCTGGCCCATAACACTGCCTTGCCTCTTCTTCCTCTGTGTCCACAAAGTCTTCAACATCTGTGTGTCGGCGTTTCAAGGAAGATACAGATTTCTCTTTCAGTTTCTGTGAGAAAAATGAATGTGATGTAATTCAAGTGTTGTTTGTGTTGTTATCATACCTTTGATTATAGATTTAAAGCAGAATGCTTTGCATCAGGATTATCTCTGCTGTTGGTCACATGCCATTAGGACAAGCACCAAGTTCAGTGAGAATCTGCATAAACTCATGATCTTTGGATTGTTAGCCCAAGATCTAACATCCACACAATCAAACATAGTACAAATTTACCTAGTGAAGCCCAAGACAACTTGGAATTGTGTGGAAGGGTGGAACAGGGGTTACAGGTAGGCAGGGTGTGTTGTAACTTGTCAACAGACACTTACAAGGGACCCTGACTCTGTAATCTACAAGATACTGAGTGGTAAGGAATGAACTAATAAAGGGCAGATGTCCTCCAGGCATGAATGACAAGTATGCATGAGTTGTTGGAGGCAGCATTATGAGGATAACGTCAATCATCGTAAGGCATAAAAGAAGGCATGGGCATAGACACTGATGCCAAATGTTAAGTCTGGATTTGAATCATTACAAAACAAATGTAGGGAGTAAAATCAGATGGGTAGGCATAAACTATAAGACTTTAAACCACTTCATTCTGCTAACTCTGTGTTTGTGTGAAGCATAAAAGTAAATGAATATGTGAAAACAACAAAATAAACAAGAATATTCTGAAAAGGGGGGTTATAATGTTACATTCCTACTTCTTAGTAAACAAAGACAAAAACACTTGCAGGGTTTATTCAATAAGAATGTATGAAGGATCAGTGAGAATAGCTTATACACACTTGATACCCCCACCAAGCAACCCTGTTGCTTGACTGATGCTATGGGGCATTGTTTGGCGATGTCTCTACCAAAAACATCTCAGATATTACATCATAGTGTATTGTAACATACTTGAAAAATGTGGAGATGCATTTTGAAGATAGGCCACAATTATTTTGATGAAACAGTTTCACATACCACTCCCTTTTTTGACGGTGAATGTTTGTGTTTATCTTTCTTCTTCTCCTTCCGCTTGTCCTTCTTTACTTTCTTGCGGGGGGAGCCAGTATCAGATGAACTTGAACGCCTCTCCCGGGCCTAAGAGAAGCAGAAAATGTGTGAGCTACAAGAGAATACATGAATGCAGCCAAAACTAATTTTCACTCAGGAAATATTATCTGCAATATTGCAAGTGTGGTCATCCCATGGAAAGACTGTCTCTCAACTGTAACAAACATCACTCTTTGTATTAATTTGCATATAAAAAACAGCTATGTTAAGCACAAGGTATCAATGGTAGGAAAAAATGCTCTGTGTTCCTAAAACGCACAGCCCTTGGAATCTTGCCTGTGCATGCACGCATACCCAAGCCATGATGTGGCGAGGTCTCTCGGGAGTCCGGTAAACTTGTGAAATTTCCTTGCATTTCAGAGCATTTTATCATCATTCGCAAGTCAAATTAGCTGAGAGAAACTTTATTTTTTCTTGTTGTTTCCTTGGAGAAAATATGTTTTTCGGTTACCTGTTGTGTTTCACGAACCATCGGTTCTCATGTCACACAAGTCAAGGTCATTATTTTGAAAAAGTAGCAACTAAACTTTGACACATTCAACGAGTTTTACAGTTTCATAAAGAATATGGGGATGTGTGGCACAGAACACATGACTTGAAAATCTTTGAACCGCAAATAACTACATAAGGTATGAATTCGTGACATATATGGTCATACACGGGTTCAGACGTTTGCACGTCATCTGGCAAGGTCGCTATTTATAAACCTGGGGAATTCGGTAACATCGCCATGTCAAAACGGACGATGTTACATTTCAGTATTAATTAAGGTTTTGGTTTTGGTATGGTATTGGTTTTGGTTTTGGTTTTGGTATGGTTTTGGTTTTGGTTTTGGTTTTGGTATGGTTTTGGTTTTGGTATGGTATTGGTTTTGATATGGTATTGGTGTTGGTAGTGGTTTTGGTTTTGGCATTGGTGTTGGTTTTGGTATTGGTGTTGGTATTGGTATGGTATTGGTTTTGGTATTGGTATTGGCATTGGCATTGGCATTGGCATTGGCATTGGTTTTGGTATTGGTATGGCATTGGTTTTGGTATTGGGATTGGTATGGTATTGGGTTTGGTATGGTATTGGTTTGGTGTGGTATTGGTTTTGGTATGGTATTTGGTATGGTATTTGGTATTGTATTGGGTTTGGTATGGTATTGGCTTTGCTATGGTATTGGTTTTGTATTGGTATTGGTATTGGTATGGTATTGGTATTGTTATAAGTATCAGTATCAAAATCATCATTTGATATTAGTTTACATTATGGGTGTGAAGAATTATATTGAAGAGGTGATACTACACCTTGAACATTTTTAACTTGGCTATGCTTAGGTCAGTCACTACCCTATCACTTCCTTTGTTTCACCCAGGGCAAATGTTCTGGTTGAGGGACTGACCCTATTGTTCTTCTTAGCTTGCATGCTTTTTAACACTCACTTGCACCTCAGTAACCACAGAGACAAGTCACTGACAGACGATAGCAAGTTGAACATTTAGAATTTTCCTTTACTGCCAAGGTATGTTTGTTTAAGTTATACATAAACATATATGTGTATATCTTTTTCATAAATAAGATTATATAAACAGTTTTTTATGTATGTTAAATGAGGGAATTTGTTAGACATGTGAGAGATTTAGTAGATGGCAAAATCTCCTGGATGGGCAGATATTTGAATAAGTATTTCGACTGAGAAGATTATGAAGTTTTTATCATCTATATGTTGTGTATGTATGTGTATTTATGATAGTATTAGAATGTTTGGTATATATTGTGTGTTATTCCAGATCTGTAAATATTTCTGATTTGATAATAATGTCCACATGTGTAAGGACAGTATGTAAAGAAATTAGATTTGAATATTTCCATATTTGTAGGTATTTTTGAAGTCACTGTAGACTTGTGGTCGCAGGAGACAATGTGACCTACACCTAGAGGCCATACTTCTGGTATTGTTATTATTATTAATGCTGCTTAAAGCAGTACCAAATGACAGTACCAAAAAGGGTCTTGCCAAAATCACACAAGTCATACACCTGCATGGCTGGTATACATGTTGCACATCTCATTTTGATAAATAACAGAATACTTTCACACAAAAATACTCTTTCACACAAAAACATTCCCAAATATCTTTTTTCCAGTGAACACGAACAATGAATTGAATTCATGAAGGAACATAATTCACAGAAAACACCAGTGAATCATGACAGGACTGGTATAAATATATGTTGACATGCACCTCATTGTTGCTGTTGTAGTAGCATATCTATATAATTATGCTAAACAAAATGAAAAGTGCACGAAAATGCTTTGCATTGGGACTAAGCAAACAATAAAAGAATCTGATCCTATGAAATGGTCATCACTGCACTAGAGAGTAATTGGCTCCATATATCCAGAAATGAGGGTAACTACAATCATGCCAAGTTTCATGCTTTCATTACAAGGAGCGTAACTAACTTTGTAACACAACAGCTGCAAGTCAAGGAATGATAAGGCCCTGCTGGGCTGACTGGAAACATTATGACAAATATTTGTGCATTTTCAGAATTTATAACAAAACGGGCTACCAAATCTCTAAAATAGTTATGTCGAGATAACAGTTGTTAAGAAATAATAACTGTAAGCAACTCAAAGTGATTTGTTCACTACCCTTATCTTTGTCAAAGGTTTAATAAGCTCCCTGCAAACCTTTAAAACCAGCCTTTATGCAATACATTAGTTACATAACTGTACAAGGTGATGCAGATTGTTAAGGCCAGATCCTACGTTATCATCACAATGCAGTAGGAAGGCGTTTCCTATTCTCGCGGTACTTACGGATATTGGCTGAAAAAATAACACAAACAATTCTTATCGTATTCATGCTTGTTGTTTTTAAATGAAGGGCCTTCTCGTCTAACATCTACATCTATCAGCTGCCAGACCCATCAGGTGAATTACCACTCGTGAGCCCGGTGATATACAATGCCATCCGCCATTGATGAAACGAGGCTTCTCCCAGTCTAGCAATATTACCAGGAATTAACGTTATTGAGTGTATGTAAGAGCAATCCTGCCGGAAAGAGCGGGAAAAAGTAATGATATGTCCAAATTGGTATAAACTCCCCAATATTCGTGACACTGCAAGATTTTGATCACTCACAGACTTGGGCCACTTCCTAGTTACCAGTCGGTGATGTAAACAACAGCTTAGTGTCCGCATCGGCGATTTCGGCAGAAAACATGTTTACCGCGAGAATAGGAGACACACCTATACTACCTAATATTTGGCTCAACTATAATACATCTTTACCATTCTATTTAAATATTTTCTTTCCTTGAAGTAATATTTGAACTAAAATGTTTCGGAGAGGTGAGCTTGCTATGACTAGTCTGTTACTACCTTTGGTGTCCTGATTCTGTTCTCAGCTTCAAAGTCACAGCTGTCATCTAGGTCATCTTCATCTTCCTGTGTCCTGAAAACAAAACAATGTCCCCCTGAATACAAACCAAGTCACAGTCAAAATACACCACAGAATAACTCACCCTCTGTCCCTATGTACACCAACTGTCACTGTCAAAATACACCACAGAACAACTCACCCTCTGTTCCTATGTATACCAACTGTCACTGTCAAAATATACCACAGAACAACTCACCCTCTGTTCCCATGTACACCAACTGTCACTGTCAAAATATACCACAGAACAACCCACTTTCTGTCCCCATGTACACCAACTGTCACTGTCAAAATACACCACAGAACAACTCACCCTCTGTTCCCATGTATACCAACTGTCACTGTCAAAATACACCACAGAACAACTCACCCTCTGTTCCCATGTACACCAACTGTCACTGTCAAAATATACCACAGAACAACTCACCCTCTGTTCCCCAAGTACACCAACTGTACACCAACTGTCACTGTCAAAATATACCACAGAACAACTCACCCTCTGTTCCCATGTATACCAACTGTCACTGTCAAAGTATACCACAGAACAACTCACCCTCTGTTCCCATGTATACCAACTGTCACTGTCAAAATACACCACAGAACAACTCACCCTCTGTTCCCATGTACACCAACTGTCACTGTCAAAATACACCACAGAACAACTCACTCTGTCCCCATGTATACCAACTGTCACTGTCAAAATACACCACAGAACAACTCACCCTCTGTTCCCATGTACACCAACTGTCACTGTCAAAATACACCACAGAACAACTCACCCTCTGTTCCCATGTACACCAACTGTCACTGTCAAAATACACCACAGAACAACTCACTTTCTGTCCCCATGTACACCAACTGTCACTGTCAAAATACACCACAGAACAACTCACTTTCTGTCCCCATGTATACCAACTGTCACTGTCAAAATATACCACAGAACAACTCACCCTCTGTTCCCATGTACACCAACTGTCACTGTCAAAGTATACCACAGAACAACTCACTTTCTGTCCCCATGTACACCAACTGTCACTGTCAAAATATACCACAGAACAACTCACCCTCTGTTCCCATGTACACCAACTGTCACTGTCAAAATATACCACAGAACAACTCACTTTCTGTCCCCATGTATACCAACTGTCACTGTCAAAATATACCACAGAACAACTCACCCTCTGTTCCCATGTATACCAACTGTCACTGTCAAAATATACCACAGAACAACTCACTTTCTGTCCCCATGTACACCAACTGTCACTGTCAAAGAATACCACAGAACAACTCACCCTCTGTTCCCATGTACACCAACTGTCACTGTCAAAGTATACCACAGAACAACTCACCCTCTGTTCCCATGTACACCAACTGTCAATGTCAAAATACACCACAGAACAACTCACCCTCTGTTCCCATGTACACCAACTGTCACTGTCAAAATACACCACAGAACAACTCACTTTCTGTCCCCATGTACACCAACTGTCACTGTCAAAATACACCACAGAACAACTCACCCTCTGTTCCCATGTATACCAACTGTCACTGTCAAAATACACCACAGAACAACTCACCCTCTCTGTCCCCATGTATACCAACTGTCACTGTCAAAATATACCACAGAACAACTCACCCTCTGTTCCCATGTACACCAACTGTCACTGTCAAAATATACCACAGAACAACTCACCCTCTGTCCCCATGTACACCAACTGTCACTGTCAAAGTACACTACAGAACAACCCACCCTCTGTTCCCATGTATACCAACTGTCACTGTCAAAGTACACCACAGAACAACTCACCCTCTGTTCCCATGTACACCAACTGTCACTGTCAAAATATACCACAGAACAACTCACTTTCTGTCCCCATGTATACCAACTGTCACTGTCAAAATACACCACAGAACAACTCAACCTCTGTCCCCATGTATACCAACTGTCACTGTCAAAATACACCACAGAACAACTCACTTTCTGTCCCCATGTACACCAACTGTCACTGTCAAAATACACCACAGAACAACTCACTTTCTGTCCCCATGTACACCAACTGTCACTGTCAAAATATACCACAGAACAACTCACCCTCTGTTCCCATGTACACCAACTGTCACTGTCAAAGTATACCACAGAACAACTCACCCTCTGTTCCCATGTACACCAACTGTCACTGTCAAAATACACCACAGAACAACTCACCCTCTGTTCCCATGTACACCAACTGTCACTGTCAAAATATACCACAGAACAACCCACTTTCTGTCCCCATGTACACCAACTGTCACTGTCAAAGTACACCACAGAACAACTCACCCTCTGTTCCCATGTATACCAACTGTCACTGTCAAAATACACCACAGAACAACTCACCCTCTGTTCCCATGTATACCAACTGTCACTGTCAAAATATACCACAGAACAACTCACCCTCTGTTCCCATGTACACCAACTGTCACTGTCAAAATATACCACAGAACAACTCACCCTCTGTCCCCATGTACACCAACTGTCACTGTCAAAGTACACTACAGAACAACCCACCCTCTGTTCCCATGTATACCAACTGTCACTGTCAAAGTACACCACAGAACAACTCACCCTCTGTTCCCATGTACACCAACTGTCACTGTCAAAATATACCACAGAACAACTCACTTTCTGTCCCCATGTATACCAACTGTCACTGTCAAAATACACCACAGAACAACTCACCCTCTGTCCCCATGTATACCAACTGTCACTGTCAAAATACACCACAGAACAACTCACTTTCTGTCCCCATGTACACTAACTGTCACTGTCAAAATACACCACAGAACAACTCACTTTCTGTTCCCATGTACACCAACTGTCACTGTCAAAATACACCACAGAACAACTCACCCTCTGTTCCCATGTACACCAACTGTCACTGTCAAAATATACCACAGAACAACTCACTTTCTGTCCCCATGTACACCAACTGTCACTGTCAAAATACACCACAGAACAACTCACCCTCTGTTCCCATGTATACCAACTGTCACTGTCAAAATACACCACAGAACAACTCACCCTCTGTTCCCATGTATACCAACTGTCACTGTCAAAATATACCACAGAACAACTCACCCTCTGTTCCCATGTACACCAACTGTCACTGTCAAAATATACCACAGAACAACTCACCCTCTGTCCCCATGTACACCAACTGTCACTGTCAAAGTATACCACAGAACAACTCACCCTCTGTTCCCATGTATACCAACTGTCACTGTCAAAATACACCACAGAACAACTCACCCTCTGTTCCCATGTACACCAACTGTCACTGTCAAAATATACCACAGAACAACTCACTTTCTGTCCCCATGTATACCAACTGTCACTGTCAAAATACACCACAGAACAACTCACCCTCTGTCCCCATGTACACCAACTGTCACTGTCAAAATACACCACAGAACAACTCACTTTCTGTCCCCATGTACACCAACTGTCACTGTCAAAATACACCACAGAACAACTCACCCTCTGTTCCCATGTACACCAACTGTCACTGTCAAAATACACCACAGAACAACTCACTTTCTGTCCCCATGTACACCAACTGTCACTGTCAAAATACACCACAGAACAACTCACCCTCTGTTCCCATGTACACCAACTGTCACTGTCAAAATACACCACAGAACAACTCACCCTCTGTTCCCATGTACACCAACTGTCACTGTCAAAGTATACCACAGAACAACTCACTTTCTGTCCCCATGTACACCAACTGTCACTGTCAAAGTACACCACAGAACAACTCACTTTCTGTTCCCATGTACACTAACTGTCACTGTCAAAATACACCACAGAACAACTCACTTTCTGTTCCCATGTACACTAACTGTCACTGTCAAAATACACCACAGAACAACTCACCCTCTGTTCCCATGTACACCAACTGTCACTGTCAAAGTATACCACAGAACAACTCACTTTCTGTCCCCATGTACACCAACTGTCACTGTCAAAATACACCACAGAACAACTCACCCTCTGTTCCCATGTATACCAACTGTCACTGTCAAAATACACCACAGAACAACTCACCCTCTGTTCCCATGTACACCAACTGTCACTGTCAAAATATACCACAGAACAACTCACTTTCTGTTCCCATGTATACCAACTGTCACTGTCAAAGTACACCACAGAACAACTCACTTTCTGTCCCCATGTATACCAACTGTCACTGTCAAAATATACCACAGAACAACTCACTTTCTGTTCCCATGTATACCAACTGTCACTGTCAAAATACACCACAGAACAACTCACTTTCTGTCCCCATGTACACCAACTGTCACTGTCGAAGTACACCACAGAACAACTCACCCTCTGTCCCCATGTATACCAACTGTCACTGTCAAAGTATACCACAGAACAACTCACCCTCTGTTCCCATGTACACCAACTGTCACTGTCAAAGTACACCACAGAACAACTCACCCTCTGTTCCCATGTACACCAACTGTCACTGTCAAAATATACCACAGAACAACCCACTTTCTGTTCCCAAGTACACCAACTGTCACTGTCAAAATATACCACAGAACAACCCACTTTCTGTTCCCATGTATACCAACTGTCACTGTCAAAGTAAACCACAGAACAACTCACTTTCTGTCCCCATGTACACCAACTGTCACTGTCAAAGTACACCACAGAACAACTCACCCTCTGTTCCCATGTACACCAACTGTCAATGTCAAAATACACCACAGAACAACTCACCCTCTGTTCCCATGTATACCAACTGTCACTGTCAAAGTACACCACAGAACAACCCACTTTCTGTTCCCATGTATACCAACTGTCACTGTCAAAGTACACCACAGAACAACTCACTTTCTGTCCCCATGTACACCAACTGTCACTGTCAAAATATACCACAGAACAACCCACTTTCTGTCCCCATGTACACCAACTGTCACTGTCAAAGTACACTACAGAACAACTCACCCTCTGTTCCCATGTATACCAACTGTCACTGTCAAAATACACCACAGAACAACTCACCCTCTGTTCCCATGTATACCAACTGTCACTGTCAAAATATACCACAGAACAACTCACCCTCTGTTCCCATGTACACCAACTGTCACTGTCAAAATATACCACAGAACAACTCACCCTCTGTCCCCATGTACACCAACTGTCACTGTCAAAGTACACTACAGAACAACCCACCCTCTGTTCCCATGTATACCAACTGTCACTGTCAAAGTACACTACAGAACAACCCACTTTCTGTCCCCATGTACACCAACTGTCACTGTCAAAGTACACCACAGAACAACTCACCCTCTGTTCCCATGTACACCAACTGTCACTGTCAAAATATACCACAGAACAACTCACCCTCTGTTCCCATGTACACCAACTGTCACTGTCAAAATATACCACAGAACAACTCACCCTCTGTTCCCATGTACACCAACTGTCACTGTCAAAATATACCACAGAACAACTCACCCTCTGTCCCCATGTACACCAACTGTCACTGTCAAAGTACACTACAGAACAACCCACCCTCTGTTCCCATGTATACCAACTGTCACTGTCAAAGTACACTACAGAACAACCCACTTTCTGTCCCCATGTACACCAACTGTCACTGTCAAAGTACACCACAGAACAACTCACTTTCTGTTCCCATGTACACTAATAGTCACTTTCAAAATAACAACCTGACTGACCTGAAAACCAGAAGGATGACACATAAGCTAACATTTTTTTACACGAGCAAATATTTGTCTTATCAATTTTACTTTAGTGGCTGCTGAGTGAGGGTCACTGAGGACCAAGATAACCAACGACTACTCACTCTCCAAAAGGGATGTATTCTGATTCTGTGATGCTGGTCTCAGTGTTGGATGAGTTCTTCCTCTGCCACTGTTTGCTTGTCAATGACAGTCCCTGCACAAACATCACACAAATACTTAACTGCACAATCTCTCATTATCATCAATTCTACATAGCATTTTTAAATCATTAAATTAAATGTAGAGTTAAATACTGAATATTACATTTGAAAACAAATGACATGAAAGTCTGTGTTAGCATTTCCATTTCTTCAGGATTTCACAATCATAGTCATGCATATGTATAAAGAAATTATTTTAACTTTCCAATATACTCACAAAATTTGCACACTGTCTCAAGCGACACTTTTGCCTGATTTTGTTTGGGCCGCCAAACTTTTTCATATCCTGAGATACAATGAAAGAAAATAAGCATTAACACACTATTCCTTCCATGTACCTTTCAAGTGCGATGAGCACATGGCAGACCCTATTGTGTTGTTAAAGAGTCCTGGGTGCCGTTGTACAGGCTACGGTGATCGTAACTCCCAAACCTTAACATAGACTTACGACTGTCGTAGCACTAAGGTTGTTTTGTACAACAGCGCCCTGATGGGGAAGATTACACGTCAAAAAACAAATCAGGGTCTAGATGAATAAAACAAGAAATAAATGAATAGTTAAGATTGATTGTAACATCTTACAGGCAAAGACAAGACACCAAGTAACATGGACATTGTGGACATCTAATCGTTGTCAGGACATATGGTGTAGCATCATGTATTTCATTTCGAAACCTTCGACAAGAGACACAAGTGTTATCTCCCCGCCACCAGGTGGCGCAAACAAGCTTTTCCGAAGTCTTGCATGAATTTGCCATTCTCCATTCCCAGCTTTTAGCTATCGGCCGATCCTTGAAGATCACAGTTGTTTTACTCTTTTTTTGCTGGAGGATAGTACTTTTCTTGTATATTTAGTATTTTTCCTTATCCTGACTCATGCTTAATTGCTTGTCTTCTTCTTCTTGCGAACTATAGTGGAACACTTGAATCCCCTTTTGAAGCTCCCTTCAAAAAAGTGGACGTAAAATCACTCACCCCATTTGCCTCCCTTGAAACCATCTTTTGGCGCGAAAAGGTCACATGATCGGCCATGCTTGTTCACTCTCTCCTTCTTTGCCCTAGTGGACGGTTGTGAGAGCGCCTGGGTCCCCTATATGGCATATATCCTTTGAATTTAGGCTGTTATACTAAATTAGGCTGTATAAGGGCTTTATCAAGGATTTACCAGCAATATGGTTTGAAATTTATTCTAAATTTGTCCGTTTTTCACGTTGTTGACAACATGTCTCAAATTGTTTACATTTCATGAAGACTTGCATTTCTTGCAGGTTTCAATTGTCGGCTGCTGATCCGCATTTACTATGTCCTAACTGCACTTCTATATGTTCTTCCAGCCTCCCCTGTAATCTTTGTCAGCATTTATCTCAAATTGAATTTTGTAATCATTTATATTCTGTTCATAGACGTGCCCAAGGACAAATTGAGACGGCAGTTATTAGTCATGTCTCAACAGGGTGAATGCGCTAATAACCGTGGGTTGTTGTCTGTCGAGGTACATCATTCCAGTGTGCTGCCGGTGACGTCTGCTGAGCAGATAATTGAGGGTTCCGGCCTTAGGAAAAGATCTTCTTCGACTCAATCATCCTCGTCGCAGTCTAAGAAGACCAGGACGCCGTCTGCTGCGAAGACTAAGACGTCTTCAGACAAGTCTACAGTCAAGTTGTCAATGGGGGCAGCGAAGAAGTCGAGATCCTTCGCCGCAGATATCAACCCATCGGACGAAGCAGACGTGTACGATGAGCCGCCGATCCTCATCCCTGAAGTACCGACCAGGAAGAAGACGATGTCTGCAACTATATCTACGCAGTCAGACGGCCTATCTGCGCAGACTGCAACTACCAGAGAGGACAGGCAGCCCTCAGATGACACCTCAACATTATCAGATGCGGCGTCATCTGTACAGCAACAGCAGTTATCAGCGCAGACCTTCAACCCGGGCATCTTTATGCAGCAGTTTACCCAGCAGATGATGGACCTGATGGAACGTAGGTTCGATCAGGAGAAGACTGCAGAGAAGCAGACGAATCTGGAAGGAGGACGAACAGCGTCTACACCTCAGCGGGATGAAGGATGCAACCTGCGTGAAGAAAACGTTCGTGAAGGGAACGCCCAGATGACAACAACGATCGAGACGAATCTAGCAAAGGCATTCGCAGAAGGACCACTGGTGAAGACACTCTTGGAACCAACAACCAAGAAAGAACGCCTGCTACAGACGAGGAGCATTTGCGAAGGCATCGCAGATCATCTTCATCCTCGGACTCAGACAAGCACCAGAGGTCTACGCGTTCACCACGCAGAAGAGATTATAAGCCTTCACGAAGGCATACAACTTACAGATACAGGTCACCATCGCGCAGATGCTCGGCAAGATCTTCATGGTCGTCACCACGCAGATACAGATCACCTAGTACATCTCCAATTAGGCATTCACGAGTGCCTACACGCAGGCTTACACATAGATTTCCACCTAGAGATCAGGACCAACAGCAACGACCTGCGGAACGAGACACATCGAAACCGGAGGATGATGGAGGAGTTATCTTCTCAGATACAGAGATCAAATCATGGATGGTCTGGAGCTTGCATCACCATCTAAGGAGAATAATGAAGCCGACACGTACATGATGTCTAACGACGATTGTGACACGTTAACACTGCCACCCATAGATCTGGTACTGGACGTCCCAGATAACCTCAGCTCAGCCTTCAAGAAGGTAACGAAGTATCAGAGTCAAAGCATTCCACCGTTTAATGCTAAGAGATTTTCACTACACAATATGGAACCATTCATGAAGGCCCCAGAAGTAGATGAAAACTATAAACTCATCAATGACGCTCGAGTCAGGACTTATAAAGTGGAGGACAAGAAGCTAGCGCAACTAGACACAACCACTAGACGTACCTTCTTTGGATTAGCCAGGTCAAGGGCCATCGACGAAACCCTAATTGCGAAGTTTGCAAACTCTTCATCTGAAGAAGATCAGATGATCTACTCAGCCTTATTAACTCAAAAGAAAGACCAACAGTTCATGTCAGAACACCTAGCGTCTACATCGGCGGGATTAACACTGCTATGAAGACAAGGTCTACTATCAGCCTGTAAATGGAGTGAGAAGTTTACCAAACCACTATTCAGAGCTCCATGTGCAGCAACAAATATCTTCGCAGGAGAAATTGGGAACGTGGCTAAAGAAGTTACGAAGGAGTCCAGAGAAGTGATGATGATCAAGTCCATCGATACACTGGCCACCGTTATCAGACAGACATCTCAGCGCTACTCTGGCAAATCTAAATTTGCAGGGATTCATGGACGTTGATGGACAGGGTCGGAACGACAGGAGTCTTCCACCCCCAGCCGTTCCCATACAACCCTCACCATTGGGTGGACGCCTTCAACTTTACTGGAAGAATTGGGGAATTCTACAAGACGATTATGTATCCCAGATACTACACACAGGATACAAGATAGAACTGCAAGCGGTTCCACCTTTAACAAGCACTCCTCAGATGTACAACTATGCTACCGATCAGAAGGAGAAACTACTCGATGCCATTACAACTCTACTCGACAAGAAGGCAATCGAAGAAATACAAATCGTCACACCAGGTTTCTACTCCCCGATTTTTCTGGTCCCAAAGAAAAACTCCAAGGAAAAGTTCCGACTGATTTACAACATGAAAAAGTTCAACCAGGATCATCTAAGAAAGCCCGCAAGATTCAAAATGGTACATCTTCCACAACTCAGACAGATTATCCGTCCGTCAGATTATCTAGCCAGCATAGATCTACAGGATGCGTACCTTCACATCCCAATACATCAGGACTCAAGGAAGTACCTACGATTCCTGTTCAACGGACGTCACTACCAGTGGAGGGTACTACTGTTTGGAATATCGTCGGCCCCCTTGTTTACTCGAGTGACAAAGCCCATCGTCAGTTACCTACATCATCAAGGTCTACGCAGTGCGTTTTACCTCGACGACGGGATTCAAGCTCATCAAGATCCCAATCTACTCAGACGGCAACTGACGTTTGCGATCAAGCTACTCACTCAACTAGGATGGTTAGTAAATCATCTCAAATCGGAATTAGAGCCTACACAGGATCTACAATTCCTAGGAATACGAATCGTCACTTAAACAAATCATCTATTAGTCCCGGAGGACCGTTGGATCAAGATACAACAGATGATATCGCAAACACTACTCTCTCCGTTACCACTACGAGAGTGGTCCACTCGGTCTCCTCACGTCAGCGCAAGATATGACACGCAGAGGCAGATTACTGTTGCGCCCACTACAAGTGTTTGTCAACGATCATCTAGACAGTCTACCGAACGAGCTGAAACCATACCTATTATGGTGGACACAGAAGTCGAATGTCTGCGCAGGAACCTACTTAGCAGAGCCGGGATCCAACACACATCTCTACGCAGATGTGTCCCACCAAGGATGGGGAGCTCACTTAAACAACAAAGTGGCATCGGGAAATCAGGAGCAGAAGCTACACATCAACATGCTAGAGTTGAAAGCAGTCATAAACGCCTTACTACACTGGCCCAGCATACTAAGGAACGCTCAACTGATGATCCATACGGACAACTCCACAGTGGCGTTCTACATCAACAAACAAGGGTCAACAAGGTCAAGAAGCATGTTGGACCTCAACTTCAACTATTCAGCATAGTAGACAACCTGAACATCGACATAAAAGCATCACACATTCCCGGAGCCAGAAATGTGATAGCAGACGCCCTATCCCGTCTATGAATCCGTCACCGACGGAATGGATGCTACACCCAGAGGCATTCAAGGACATCATTCGGACAATAGGATCCCCACTGGTAGATTTGTTCGCAACCAAGTTCAACAAAGAACTACCAACATTCGTCTCTCCGGTCCCAGATCCTCAAGCATGGGCAACGGACGCCTTGAGCATAATGTGGGAAGGACTAAACGCGTGGAGCGTATCACGACGTGCTTGAGAAAAAGATATTCCACCAGAGCGGCCAAAGCAGTAACTTTAGCCTTACGCAGAACAACCCGTAACTTGTATGATGACAAGTGGCAAAGTTTTGAGAAATACGCTCGGAATAAAGGCTTCACTGCAATAGAAGCAACACATCCTCAAGTGGCGGAATACCTTTGTTATCTTAGACAGACAAAACGATTGAAGGGATCTACACTCTCTACATACCTAGCGGCCTTGAGCTCAGTTATCACGATGAAGATGGGTATAAAACTGACTAAAGTACCAGAGATACTGGCACTACTACGCTCACTCAAGTTGGAAGACCAACAAAGAAAATTCAAGGCGCCCGCTTGGGATCTCAACGTGGTTCTACAACATCTTACCAGCGAAGATTACGAACCACTAGAAAGGACATCATATGAGAAATTAACTCATAAAACACTGTTCCTCGTAGCCTTAGCTACAGCGGCAAGGATGTCAGAAATTCATGCTCTAGACTTCGAACGAACAAGATTTGACACGCATCGTGACACAGTGCATCTGGGACTAAGATGGGGTTTTATAGCAAAGAATCAACTGCCTGGTCAACCAGACAGACAATTCCATATCCCAGCACTTTCGTCGATATTAGGACCACAGGATACGCAAGACCGATCCTTATGTCCAGTCAGAGCATTGAAAATATATCTACAGTGGTCTAAATTGAGGAGACGAAAATTCAAACGCCTTTTCATCCCTCTATCTACGGAGACACCTACGGAAGTCTCACGTATAACCATATCAATATGGATAAGAGCTGTCATATTGAGAGCCTATAAAGCAGCAGGACTTGATCCTCCACGAGCCTCCAATCCTCATGAAGTCAGAGCACTGGCATCCACGCTAGCTCTGCACGGAAACTGCTCCAAATCAACAATAATGGAGGGCTGCTTCTGGAGGTGGGAGACGGTGTTTGCCAGCCACTACCTCAGAGACATGGCTACAGAGGACGTCTCCGGCATACACAGTTTGGGCGGCTTGTTGTAGCAAAACAATTGACGGTACCTCAAAGGCGCTGAGATAAATCTCACCCTTTTGTCACGTGACTTGTAAAAGCCAACACTCAACAGAGTACGGTTTAAGAGTCCATGCGCACGTCTAGGACAGACTAGCATGAGTGATGGACCCGGTACTTGTAAGGACTTACTTGTACACGAAGTAGGGTCACTTCTCCTCTTGATGCAAGCATCAAGAGTTGGAGTTGTATAAATCCACACAGAATGTCAGGAGAAGATTTCCAGGATAAATCTGTCAAGTTGTGGTCCCCCCACACTCATCAGAGGAAGCTGGAAGAAAGGACAAATGCCATGAGAAGTTCCCAAGGGGGTATAAGGACGTAAATCAGCAGAGAATCCAGAGTGGCTTGACCCACCACCGTTTCCGTCGGATTCTACAAGCAATTAAGCATGAGTCAGGATAAGGAAAAATATGTAATGTCCTGACTAAAATTGATATTTTATACTTATCCTGACTCATGAGGTTAGCCCTCCCAACCTCCCCTCATGGCACTCTGGATTTCCCTGCAAATCCAAGTGTCAGGGCTCGAAATAACAGAGAGTGAACAAGCATGGCCGATCATGTGACCTTTTCGCGCCAAAAGATGGTTTCAAGGGAGGCAAATGGGGTGAGTGATTTTACGTCCACTTTTTTTAATGGAGCTTCAAAAGGGGATTCAAGTGTTCCACTATAGTTCGCAAGTTCTTATCCTCCTCCAATCCCTCTGTTTCACAATATACTGGGAGAAATCTCAGTTTGTGCCATCACAAAGGACAAAATTCCTGGGGTTTTGTATAAACTTCACAGAAATGATCTTCTACCTACCAGAGGAGAAGGTGGATCAAATAAAGAATCAGTGCAGGGAGGTTCTACGATCTCACACAGTGACAGTGCATCAGGTGTTTCAGCTGGTGGGAAAACTGCTGTCATCCATTCAGGCCATTCTTCCTCAACATTGCAGTGCAGATACCACCAGATGATTCAAATAAGAACTTTGATTCAGGTGAAGTCTTACGAAACCCCATTGACTCTGGATCACGAGGGGAGAGAGGAAGTGGATCAGTCAGATGGATCTCCCCCACTCCAGATCTGACGGGTGGACTCGGACGCCTCCAACAAGGGTTGAGGGGCCGTATGTCAGGGTCAGACAACTCAGGGTGTGTAGAGCTCCACAGAACAATCATATCACATCAATGAGAAAGAGCTACTTACAGCTCCTACTAGCTCTAAAATCGTTCACAAAGAACAAGAAAGGAATGTGTGTACACATGAGACTGGACAACCAAACTGCAGATGCTCACATAGTCAGGGAGGATGAAATCCTGTTTGCGGAACAGCCTCAAAGGATAGAGAGAATGCGAATCTCTTCAATAAGGTTCCTACAGGTAAACTGGCTATGCTGTTTGTGTTAACCTCTGTTGGAAGGGCATCAGAGATTCAACAATTACACACAAGATATATGTGTATCAAAGAGTATAGGGTAACCTTTGGCAAAAAGAACAAAGACTTGTAGGCCAGGGAAAATACATAATGTGTTAGAATTCTTTAGGTTTGAGGAGGACAAGTCTTTGTGTGTAGTTGAACGTACTAAGGATATTTGTCAAGGACTAGATTATAGCGGGTGACCTTGGACATAGTCCTGCGCCATTATCTGCTCCTGAGTTATGTGAAGCCCCATGGGCATGTGAAAACTTGCACCATAAGCAGGTGATGGAAAAATGTCATGAAGGAGTCAGGGATGGCGGCAGGGTTCACAGCACACTCTACCAGGGCTGCCTCCACTTGGGCAATGGGTCAAGGTATCTCGATTGATGATATCCTGAAACAGGCGAATTGGTCAAAGTAATCAACTTTCAGAAAATTCTTATTGTAGGACTCAAGAGGTCAACACTTTCCAGCAGGCAGTTTTGACCAGGTAAACTTTAAACTAACACTTGCGTATCTTGCCAAAGGTTGCGAAATTGTATATTTCATTAGCTCACGTAGTGAGCGCCATGAAATCTTAATTTCATGAGTAACCGAAGGCAAGATATGAAAGTGTTCCCACCCACCCATCCCGTTTGCTTGCCTTCGGTACTAAAATATTTCGCCTTGTTGCAGGAGCTAGCCATGGATGGAGTCTGATCTCCGATGTGTCCTGAAAGTCTCCGGTGTGTCCTGACAGTGTGGGTTCCTTTGTGGCCTGATAGTGACTTTTACACTCCACAAGTCCATCCATTGTTGAGCATTAAAATTCTGGTTGATGAGCTTTGATCCTGTTTTGCTTCTCGCTGTTCTCCTGCAAGCTGAAAGCTGGTAATGGAGAAAGGCGAATTCTCGCGAGGCTTTGAAAAAGCTGGTTTGCGCCACCTGATGGCGAGGGGAGATCACATTTGAGTATCTTGCCTAAAATTATGATTTCATGGTGCTCACTACATGAGCTGATGAAATCTACAGTACAGTCCCACAACTGACCCACTGTACACTGTGATCTCAAACATGTCTTCAGGATGGTTCATACACACCAGTTAAACAATTCTTCATCACACAAAGATACATGTCTCAACTTCCAGTGTTTCAGTATGATACATCAACCATAACAAACTTCACCATTACACTATCAATACATTCTTTCTGTTACATACAATATTATGTCACCTCACAAATACCATTCAATGTGTAATTTTACAACTCTGACAGATTTTAGGCTTTGTTCAGATGGTGAAAGGACATGGCCATAGAATATATAAGAAACATGGAAAACAGGAGGATCTGCATTTATACTTATCATCAATAAGAACTTGTCTGTGAATGTATTGCAGCAACCAGAATGTAATAATGTCTGTAGTATCTGGTCGACTTGTTCACTAAAGAGAGGTAAGTGTATCTGGCATCCTGTACTAAAACCCATGCACAATGCTACACTTTAGCAACATTTGTGACCATTTTCTGAAGGCTTGCAATCTATAGTCACATTTATGTTATCTTTCATAAGGTAGCTGGGAATACTAGATTCTAGCTTTTGATACTGGTCTTTGTACTGTGCCTGTAAAATGTGTAGCAACACCACACAAGGACTGTCAGTACTCAAACAATATGAGTAAACAGACTTCACCAGTTTGGCTTTAAATGGCCCTCTGTGAAATACGCTGTTGTTTAAACATGACTTCGAGGAGTAGTAAGGGATATCATTCTAAATGATCTGTGATCAAACCACATTCAGCATTCATGATGTGTGTTCAAGTACGACACATATCTACTCAAATATACTGCTATATGTATACACTTGTCTGAGGAAACAAGTCCAGTAAAATGCTGTTTGGTTTTCTGAGCTCAGCACTAACACTAAAATCTAAAAGTGATGCCAAGTTTGGGTTAATACACTCAAAAGGTTTGGGTGACATGTCTCTTTTTATGATGGATATACCCCTGCTCTGGGGTTCACTACACAACTGGCACAACATACTGCATCTGGATATTTCATACGGGAAGCTTCATAGCTCACCTTACAGAAATCACACCTTCCACAATCCTCCTTTCTGTGGCAGGAAGCACACTCACCACACCGACGTGTTGACTTCTTCTGCTTCTTTTGCTGGAATACAGAGTTAACCTCCATCACTGGATGGTGCAAGGAAATAACATAAAAGCACTTGTATTTGCCATGTTGCTGAGATGGCAAGGTGGCACCCCAAGGATGTTGTGAGTTCAATAAGAACACGTAAACATAGCAATTACTCAGCTGATATTCAGAGTGAGTGGGTGGGTTACTGAAGGCCAATATTCTAACCCGGACCTTCACGGGTCGCAGATATTCAGAATGAGTGTAACATAAAAAATGCTTTGAGAATCCATTAAGACTTCAGTGATCATTTTTTAATGCTGTTATTCAAAATATTATGATTGTATGTTGTCCTGCAAGCAGTATTTCCAGATGCCAGGTTGACCCAAAATGTGTATGTTTCAATCAATGTCTATAGTCAGACAATAAATGAGTAGCTTCAGAGATGAGACTGGATATTCGACAGATTGACAGAAGAAAACAATGCTGATTTTCTAGCAGTTTTGGACGAAAAAGTAATTACTTTTGATATCACCTCCTTTGACAACAGCAAACCTAACAGATGGTCTAACATTAATGCTGAGAACCGAACAGTATTGCAGGTATTTACCTTATCTCTAAGTTTGCTACTTGCATATTCTGTAAGGTAGTATTTTTCTGCATCACTGGATTCACTCTTCAACTTCTCCTTTGGCTTCTTTGGCTTGTATACAACTTCCAGTGTATTGTTGACATCTGATTTCAGAAAAACATTATAAGTAGACATCAGATATAATAAGGCATCTAGGAATTTGTCATCACAGGTACTACAGACGATGGAAAGAAACAAGCACTTTTGTTTAATGCCATTGATTCTCAATTTCATTCTTGAATAATCTCCAACATGTCACACTAACTTCACTGCTAGAAACTCAAAATCAACACTTCAGTGTCCCACCCTACAGCAATATGCTCAAAATTTCATCCTCCAACAATGAATACTTCTTGCGTCATCATGAATATATATTTTGAAAGAATTTGACATTCAGAAGATTAAGCCCAAAGGCTTCCAACAACCACTGGTGTATTTCAACCTAACAAAAGCAACATAGCATAGGCTACTACTCCTTAAAGAATGTAGTTCACCTTGCTATCATAAGATTATCATCATTTGTATTCTCAAGTTTTCTACTTAAAAGAAATACATCTGCATAAAAGGCATAGTGGAAATAGCTTGCATAGTTTCATTGACCAACAATAATTTTTTCTCAAGTTTGGGGGTATTTTTTAAGACTCGAACTTGAGATGATTATGACCTTCGAAAGCATCCCTATTTCCAGCATGATTATTTTGGTGTTCATTTTCCATCCAGAATCAAATGTTAAACTACTCACCCACTATTTTGCAAGTACATATGCATGAACAAAAAGCATTATCACTTCATATTCATGGATTTATTTTGTCCAAAGCGTGAGAAATCTAACAATCGTTGTGACTGTTAATATTCCAATATCCCTAGTTATCCATTTTCGTAAGGAGGGTGACAACTGACTACCCTGTTCCACCACTTAAGGCTTCTGCGAATAAAGCCTGTGTAAACTGGGTTGGATGTCATGCAAGTTAGTGATTGTATTATGGAACTTCAACACAACTGCAGACCATTATTTCTTTGGAGACCAAGTTCCAAAACACATGGCTGGTCTATAAAACCTTGTTCTCATATGATGTGAAAGATCCCAATACTTTGGTAATAAGTTCGTTGGAAGTATCTGAAATCACCCTGTGACTGAAAGAAGATCAGCCTGGGCAGCTAGATACTTGTACTTGTATAACTGATTACTGAGTAGTTAACAGTCATAATTACTTACTAAAAAAAACTACAGATTTTCAAAGTGTGCTGATAGCCAAAATACAGGATTAGGTGCAGTGATATCTTATAAGAATTACAAGGTGTTATGGCAGAGGATCAAACTAAAGTGAATCTTCATGGCATATCGGGGAAAAAAACCACTTGTTTTATCACTGTTCAAATACATGTAAAAAAAACCTTCACATTTGCAGAGGCAACCTACATAACTCTGCGATAAACATCTCATCAACTTACTTCTACATTTATCACAGTAGTATCGTTTGATAGAGCGGGCATCTGACTGTGTGATGCCAATACAGTCACCATGGTACCACTCCTCACAGTTGTCACACGCTCTGGAAATAAAACATATCCTTTGTACCTTTCATGGTTACTCAAGCAGACCTATTCCCACTACTTCCCAAAGACATCTTACCTTGACCACAAGAAACAAGAACTCTTTCATCTCAAATGCCATGTCTCATGAATCTGTATCCCAAACATGTCCTTGTATAAGTGAAATGAAATTTGTTCATATATGTACACATACAGGGTTCCAGATAAGATGCATATCTGCGTAAAATACACATGGATAATTCTGATATAACCATGAAAAGTCATATCAATGGGTGAAAGATACACATTATAACTTTCTCAGAATACGAGTCAAATTTTGTAGACATGCATGAACCAAACCGGTCAAAATATTGATTCAGTCCGACACATCCAATCTTAAGGTCTTGAACAGTGTTGGCGGTCTGGATTGTAGTGAAGATTGTCGAGTTTTTCCGAATGATCTGCATTAATATTTCTAATTCACGTTTGAGGCACGATATGTTTAAAAGCTGGCCCTTAAACCCAGTGATACTATCACAACTAGTCCATATCAGTAACAATACAGCTTTAGGGCTACTGTAGATTACATGGCCCTTGGGTAGGAATACATTTAATACACACTAGCTCAACGCGCACTATCATATATTTCCTGCAGTCAAAATGGCTTACCAAAAAGAAACTCATTGAGGTTTTTTTAAAAGGAAAACTGTTAGCAAGGAAACATTAGTTTCTGCTATTATCAACGATGTAATTGACAATGTAGCTAAACTCTATATTAAGAAGAAACACGATGGGAATAGTGTCACTGACAAAACGATTTCTGGTTGGAAGTCAAATTTCCCGTGGTTGCATGTGGAGCAAAATGATGTTGTGATTGAAATGTTTAATTTGTGAGTAGTTTTAAGTGAAAACGTGTGGCCTACAAACGTACAGAAATTGACAATCAGTCCAAAAAATCTAATAAAAGCTGCTTAGTGCTATGTGTCTCTGTGAAAGTAATAAAACCATGCATCTATGAAATAATCTTCATTATATTTTCATTTGGTTATTTTACTCCTCAGTTTTAACTTTGAGGAGTGAAATACCCCTGAGTCAAATAATTATCTGGACCCCTGCACATGTGTAGGATATCTCAAACTTTGGGTCTCAACTAAGAAAAATACTATTATATTTGGGATTGCACTTTCTTAGTAAAGTACAGATTCTAGTACTTTTTCGGTTGAGTCCCATCCGGGATTTGAACCCACACCCTCAGAGTCAGGCACCTAATCGCCAGCACACAAAGTCAGATGCCTAGACCGCTCAGCCACCGCGGCTTCCACAAAATGGAAGTATGACAACTGGTAGTCTAGACTACAGACTTTGTGTACCCCTCTGATAAGTGTTAAGTGGTGATTAGGTGCCTGACTCTGAGGGTGTGGGTTCGAATCCCGGATGGGACTTAACCGAAAAAGTACTAGAATCTGTACTTTACTAAGAAAGTGCAATCTCAAATATAACGTATGTTACATTTGACCACTTTCTAAAATGGCATTGTGTATTTCATAAGAAAAATACTGTTTGATTAATAATTGTAACTCAAACTTCTAAATCCTTCAGACCCGTGAAGATCCGGGGTAGAATAGGTCTTCAGCAACCCATGTGCTTGCCATAAAAAGGCGACTATCTTGTCGTAAGAGGCGACTAACGGGATCGGGTGGTCAGTTTCGCTGACTTGGTTGACACGTCATCGGTTCCCAATTGCGCAGATCGATGCTCATGCTGTTGACCACTGGATTGTCTGGTCCAGACTCGATTATTTACAGACCGCCGCCATATAGCTGGAATATTGCTGAGTGCGGCGTAAAACTAAACTCACTCACTCACTCACTCTAAATCCTTCAAATGCACACACATTTCTCAGCACTAATTGCAGTGTTCAACAAACACTGACAATTCAAAGACACTGAGAAAATGATGGTTGTTGTCAAATATTTTGTTGGCAGATATTGTTTTTGAGTCAAAATTGTTTTACAATTTTTAAACATGTGAGTAATTTGGAAGAAAACAAGCCACATATTGGTAAATTTGCTCAAATATTGTTTTCCAGTTTTGGGAAAACAAAAATTGAATTTTTCATTTAACATTATTTTGATATGTCAAAATGTGTCGATACTTCTTATGATGAAGTGTTCAGGAGATATTTTTAAAACATGAAATGTAATCAAATCAAACGATCAAAAAGTGTCCTTTTTGGCACCAATTTTTAATTTATTTAACTGCTTTATTTGAGACATACATGACACTGTTTGCAAATACCATGGCATATAAGGATAGTATCAAAGATTTGCCAAAAGTCAATGACAACAGAGGTCAATTTGAAGGCCAATGACAACTTGAAGGTAAAGTTCTACAGTAATACATAAACAAAATAAAATACAAACTGCTACAAATTCACATAAAACTATCATTACTGGTTCTGGGTATGCTTGGTAACCCCTTACAGAACACATAAAGAAACAAAATTATGCAAAAAATACTGTTCCCCCTGCAAATACCCTGGACAAATGACATCAACTGACATTCAGAACACTTATGATGAAACTACTAATGTCAATACCGAAGATGTGCACCATATAGATTACATTGTCATTACAGTGAAACACAAAATATGTTCAGTTCAGTAGATTTTAACAGTATAAATTTCATAGTCCAGGCCCCGGGTCATGAAAAAATCTTAAGTCTAAAATTAGCTTAGCACAAAAAAAATCTTAAGTCTAAAAAAATTTGCTTAGCTAAGATTTTAGATATGACTGGATCATGAAACTCTCTCAGTAAAATCTCAGCTAAGACTAAGTCTAAGACAGTTACCATGGCAATTTTAGAATGATGTAATCATGTCCGGTCACTCTAAATTAATTGAGGAGAATAGTTTAGTAGCAGGCACCTGCAGAAATGTTCCAAACAAGTCAACTGATGCTTTTATCCCTGTCATGGTGAATTTTAGTGTCTTTAAGGTTGGGATGTTTTCAAAATACACCAACACTAATGCCTAAGTGTGCTTTCTGCCATATTGCATTGGATAGTGTTTTCAAAATCACGTTTCGTGAAGGCCAGTACTGAGACGCCTCTTACATCACGTATATTTCCTATTCAGCTGTGACAAATACATCACTGAATTCCTCATACATTTTAGTATCAAATAAGAAATGGTCTTTGTCACTAAAACCAAGTGGCTAGGTGATATGAAACGAACGCTGTGCACGAAAGACAGCACTTGCTGAAATGTAAACAAAGAAACATTGAGACTTTACACTGTGTACTGCATTTTCTCAAATTTCAGACACCCATTCGTCTATTCAGTAGAATGCATAGGCTCAATACTTTTAGAACATACATGGAAATAGTATCGTAGCAAGAAATAGCAAATTAATAATAGATACAATACAGTAATGAGATATGTTTATACGAAATTGTCAAAGTTTCTGTGCAGCGTGACACCATGACTGATAAAACATATAAGAATACACAGATAGTCAGTTTATTCTGATAACTTACATCACACATTCATGTACAAACGATTCCAGAATCAACGGAAGTGTTCTCGCAAATTCCTGTGTACCCATGTCAGCGGAGCTGCCATTTTGTAAGAAATCGGTCAACGATAGTGATGTCATAAACGTTAACATTGTTGTTACATATTTGGCAATTTCTTTGAGGTGAAGGTCGGTTGAATAAGAGTAAACACAATCGCCATGTCCCACCGATTACACTTTCAGTGTTATAATAATATATATTTTGTGTATCGTTCAGATATTTTTTCATGAAAATTTCATTATCTACATTTATCCTTGTTCTATATCATGTCCATGGATAAAGAATAAACAGTATTTATTCTTTCAAGGGTTTTGTTTGTTTGAATAATATTTACATAGGAAATTGACATACTGAGTGTAGTAGACCATATTTTAAACCCTTAAACAAGTATTAGAAGAACAAACGTAGGCGTAACTGCAACATGTACTTAAATAGTTCCTATCATGTGCAATACAAGCCATTCGGACCAATATTACAGTTGCATATGAACAGGTTAATGAACAGCGATTTAACTTTCATGACCCTGGGGCCAGGTGTTGTGAAATATTCTTTTTAATTTACGTCAAATTGATGCCAAACAGGTGCACGTGTTGTTCACATTAAGATACACCGTCAAACCGTCTAATTATGGATCTATTCAGGACATTATTTAAATGGTAAAATCAGTCATTTTAAGTTCTGTCGAAAGAGTGTTAAATTCAGATATAGAAACCGAAACCTTTTATACACTTCATGGAAATTAGTTGAGATATATACTAATCAGCATACCAATGTCGTCTTTTCCGAAATACATAAAACAAGCAATGACGTCAACTCCAGTGTTGTAGTCTTTTCAGTAATTTCACTACATTGAAGATATGGCTAGTACTCAGTTAATAATGACGCAAAATTAGTCAAAATACATCTACACAAACAGGAGAATATGTGAATATAAGAACTAATTTACATATCGAATAGGGCCATCCAAATCGCTTTTACGTGCTTTCTCATGAAGTATATTGTCATTTTTTCTTATAAATTGTGAAACTACCAAAACGTATCCGCTGACATTGGGGCACTTTGTATTGGAATAGTTTGGTTCACTGTGAACAAAACATAAGGAAAATATAGCGTCCATATCCACAACAAATTCTCTCCAAGTGACCTGAGTTACACTGAGCTAGTATTAAGCATAGCAGAGTTATGCCCCCTTATCTATATACATGCATGACCTATCTGTCGTCGTTTGACGTCTTACAAGAAAATCCATTTTCGATATTTATTGCGAGTCATTTTTAATGTTGAGCGTATAATGTTATGCGGAAGCAAATAAACCCATTTCATATACACTTTTGTTGTTCAGATATCAGGCTGTATTTTCTTAAGATAAAAATTACAGACTTTGGCAATTTTTAGACTTAAGTCACTTTCATGACCCCGGGTCCAGGGGGAGGCAGCTGAAAAA